ATAATAGCGTCCAGCAGTAGGTCCTCGAGAGTTCCTAGAAGTGGTCTGCAACCACCACCTTTTAGCCGCTTTTGGCATGGTTGAGCACTCAAAATCTCGTCTCTGTTGCGCCACCACTTTCAATGTGGCAGCATCAACACTTCACCCTTTCTTGCGAAAGTGAGGCGCCACGCGACTCGGCACGCCACCACCTTGCTCGCCGATCCACTTGATCGCCTACTGCTTCTTTCCGAGCTCAATTGCTTGACGCATGGTCGATTTCGAAATAACGGCCCAATGCTAAGGTGTTTACAGCGGCCTTTGATTTGAAGAGGTCATTCAATCGAAGCGGTCTTTTATTTCTAGAACATTGTCAAAAATGCGATGGGGGCTTGTAATAGTAGAAGGTCTTCTATTCGTAAAAATCCGTTATAACTACTGGCTGTTTCAGACCCATACTGACTTCTTTTTCTAAGTGTAGTCACACCATTGTGTGGTCATACCATCTTGTGTGACCCACCCCTTTACACCACTGTTGCTTAGATATCTTTGATTCAGCGCTACAACCCGAAATGAGCTTCTTGGTGTACCTCAAAATGATCACTTTCATTGCGCAGCTGCTCAAGTGCGTCAAAAGACGACGCATGTTCTCACCAGCGCATGTTGAGACTCTCAGTGAGAGTAAAAATGTCTTCACAATTTCAAAAGATGATGGAAGCCTGCCTCTTGAGGGTCGCCCGTCGCTTGCACTGCTCGATGAGCGAGGGGTGACCGACTTTCACGTGAAAGGTTTGATGAGCAGGCGCTTGCGTCAGAGCTGTCATCATCAAGCGAAATCGTTGCCTTCTTTTGTAATCTCGTTGGATGTGAGGTCTACTTCGGCAACATTGCTTGGGTGCTGTGGCTGATGTATAACATCTGTAGGTAGTAAGACACCAGATAATCATAGATTTAGAATTTGATGTCCTAGTATTTGCGATTTACCATCTACCATCCAGCACACTGCATTTATGGTGTGTTCAATAGCTTCGAGTCGGTATTTGCAAAAAAAAAGCAAATAAATTTGGACCAACGGCAAAACCAACAACAATAACTTATATTATACAAACAGATAGACTGTTGCAATATTTGCAGTATTTTTTTGCTCACATGTGCACCACATCAGTTGCAATAAATTGCAATTTTATTCCAGAAAACAATGGCGACTTTGAGCGACGAAGAACAGGAGCTGATTCAAAGAGATCGCGAAGCCAACCCAGGCTGCTTCTACTCAACTGCGCTCTCGCAGTCCTGCAGATCTATAAATGGCGACAACAAATGCGAGATCATAAAAAAAATATTTCGTCAATGCCCCAACGCTCGCAAAGAGCTCATCTCGAATCGCAAAGAAATTACTGAGGACGAGTACGGCGGAGAGAGCACAGCCGATGACTTTTACAATAGAGAACGGATGGACGCTCGTAGAGGGTGAGCAATAAGTTTGTTGTGAAGACTGACTTTATTTACTGAACGTTTTAAACGTTTTAAATGATATGTAGCAGCGAACAGGAATTTGGCTCATTTTTCCAGCAAAGGTTTGTGCTTTTGGTCGGCTGTCGAGAAGTTGGCAAGTTGATTGATGGCCATTTTGTGCAGAGGGGATGACGTTGATACGCAGTTGAGTCCGTTCGACTTCTTAAGGCAAGAAATGCTGCGCCCATTTGAAGGTGATTATATCAATTCGTCTGGTCGATATCAAGTAATCAATTTTACCTCGTATACTGTAGACTTTTTTAGCGGTGCCTGGTTGGGACGAGACAATTTGAACCCGTTTGAAGGTCTAGAGAGAGAATTTGAACGAATGCCTGTGCATCCACCGCCGCATTTACCGCGCCAAACACCGCCAGAACCGCCGCATTATTCGTTTCAACCTTCGCGTGGCAAAGGGCCTTTTGGTAGACTTTGATGAAGTTTATTGCAGTTTGTAGTGATTGTTTGCTTACGACTTAAGTGTTTCTGATATTAGATGCCAGCGCCGAAGCACGGGCAAAGGAAAAGAGTGACTTGTTTGCGGACTATTCAGGCCGCATTGAAGAAATTTAGGCGCTGTTTGCGAAGTAGCTAATTTTCAGTAAATGAGGCAGCAGAATTGCGTTTTCCTGTGTTGATCGAAACCATTCGTTTGCTTAAATTTTGAAGTATGTTTTGAGATTTAACCTGTACGGGAAGCTTAAGAAGGCATGCTTCTGTGCGATATTCCAGATTCTTGACGTTTTGGCTGTTGCCAATTAATATAAGGCCTTTCAAGGAGATCACGAAGGCATTTGTAGAATCCATTTAAGTACATCATTCAACAAGATTAATGAAGCAATCATTCATTGCAAATTTGTGCTTATGTGGCTCAAACTTCATCAATTTAAAGTGCATTCTTGACGTTTTTGAATTTACAAATCAGATCAATTTGTTGTGTAAAAGCTATTCTTGCCTTTGTGAACCAGGAGTGTAGGGATGTATATGACCAGCAGATATCAAATGCGTGCCTACTAGACGGCAAATGTCGTAAGTGATTGCAAGGCTTTCTGACCTGTTGATGCTTACTGAAAGAATGGCTCACGGGAAGAGAGCAAGTTACATAGTTCTATGGCAAAGCTTACTAATTTATTGTGATTCTACATGATATGGCTGGATGAGCGATCCTCTTTTGATACGGAGTACTAACGAAAACTGAGCAGAATTTTGTTTCAGCGGCGTCTGTTAAATTTGCTTTCGGCGGCCCCAGTTAACTTGTTTGGTTGTTAGAGCTTCCATTGTCTTTGTGGTAACCACAGGGCTCTCTTCTACTAGAAGCACAGTCATGCTGATTAGTAGATTTCACTTCTTATTCTACGTAGACGTAGCATACACAGCTTGCTTGATCATCTGGGGATAGAAATTGCATCTTTAGGTATTGTCTTGAATTACGCCTTTGGATTGCATTGAAGCCAATAGAGCAATCACGTGAATACGATTTGCGTCAGAATAGTGCATAGATCTATGCCCGACGTATCAGAAATCCGCAAAAATCCGGTATGTTGATTCAAATGACCAACAAACCTGGGCCAAAAGTTATAAGGATTGGGTCCCAAAGGTCAAAACTCGGTTTTTTCAGGAGGTCGTCAGTGAACTAATAAGTGTCACATCTACCGCATCCAATGCGACACTTACCGATCTCTGAAAAAGGAAGTTAAATTAATGCAGAAGATCTCGTTGCTTGCCGCACCTCTCCATAGGGCTTAAAATACGGTAAACGTCGACGATCACGAAAATGGTTTGCTGCTCTATTTTAGAAGAAGTTTTTGACGGTATGTTCGAGCTATATGCTGGCTACAACGTAAATATACAAGCGCGGCGGCCACCAACACAAGTATTCATGGAGTTACAGCGCCAGCCAAATAATTCTAGTCCGCATCTTAACATTTACCTGGACCAATTTTAAGGTAAAACATCTCTAAATGAAATTGTGAGGCCTAAATTTAGCCTACAGTCCATTTACCAGCGGCCTCGTCCACCACCATAACCGCCTCGCCCTCGTCCACCACCACCACCTCCGCCACGTCCTACAAGATCGCGCAGCTCACGAGGAACCTCCTGTCCAGCATCCTCGAGAATTTTTACTAAAGGAGCGGCCAATCTACCATTGTTGGAAGCCGTAAAAAATGAGATCGATGTACCTTTGTTGCCAGCACGAGCTGTACGACCGATACGGTGGATGTAGTCCTCGATATTTTTGGGCATGTCGAAATTCACCACATAGCGAATATCCTTGATATCTAAACCACGGGACGCGACATCTGTTGCGACCAAGATCTGAGTCTTGCCTTCCTTGAAATCACGAAGCACATAATCACGCTCCTCCTGAGACTTGTTACCGTGGATGGCCTTGCACATGTAGCGAGTATTCCGTAAGTTGCGGCTAAGTTCATCAGCACCACGCTTCGTCTCGCAAAAAATAATGATTCGACCCCCTTCGTAAATGTCACGCAAATGATCCTGTAGAGAAGCATACTTCTGGTGATCGTCCATCACCTCTACGATTTGCTTGATTCTCTTATTGGCTGTCAGATCTAACGAGCCTACTGTCACCTGAATAAAATCTGTCAAAAAATCGTTCGCTAATGCCACAATTTCCTTCGGCCACGTTGCTGACCACATCAGCGTCTGACGGTCTGGACGAATTTGGCTCACAATTTTGCGAAGTTGTGGCTCAAAACCCATATCCAACATGCGATCAGCCTCGTCTAGCACTAGGTATGTGACACGTCGTAGATTCGTCTTGCCCATGCTCAACATATCAATCATACGACCAGGCGTACAAATGCAAATCTCCACACCGCGACGAAGGTCAGCGATCTGACCGCCCTTAGGAACACCACCGTATACACACGTGTTTTTGATTTTAGAGCTCGCACCAAACTTATTACACTCTGCCTGGATCTGCACGGCGAGTTCCCGCGTGGGGGCAATAATTAGAACGATAGGTCCATCGCCAGGTTGTAAATACGGCTACAAAGAATAATAACAGTACATACAAATCGTTAGTAGACATAATGACATGGCCTACCAGGAAGTACGCATGAGAAAGCAAGCACAAGCGAGCGCCGAGGAATTTGCGGTGTTCGCACCCTGCATTTTCTTCCGGCCAAAGCCCACAACGCACCAATGCAAATTTCGCACCGATTAATCGTCAGGAGGGCGACAGCGATAGAAGAAAAGGCAGTTATGGTCAATCAGCTGAAAGCCATCAGTCTTGCCGTTACAGATTCTGCCAGAGTCAGTTGGCAAGTAGTCATAAGCAGGACTATTTATATGTCTGCCAACACGACCTGCAATCCTGAACAGCAGACCGCGATCCGGATCAGCTGAAATGCGAAAAACACATTAATACGTCTCGACGAGAGCATTTTTCATCCCACCAACACGTATCGACATGTATCATCCACGCTTAAATCACCGTTTAAACCCCGACGCCCAGTGCGCGTATGTCTCTTTTACCGCATTACATTAATGCGCACAAATAAAAGACTGTCATGTTGCTATCAGCTCATCTCAGCGCATTAGCGCCGTGAAATACGCAATCAATCCTTCAAGCAAGGTTGGTTGCAGCATACGAACCTGAGCGTTAATGTGTACGATTGCTGGAAGCAAGAAAGCTAGTGTTTTTCCAGATCCCGTGGCTGAAATACCAACCATGTCGCGTCCTGATAGCGCCATGGGCCACCCTTGGCATTGAATAGGCGTGGGTTTGTCGAATCCTAATCGCACGACCTCTTCTAGGACATACTCGGGAAAAGATGCCTCTTCAAAAGACAGGACGCACTTAGGAACACCTTTACCAGTGACATTTATCTGGTGTTCCCGTTTCCATTTTTCGTATTCATCCGCTGATCTTTTTGTCACATCTGGGTGCTCGTAGTAAAAATTCTTTTCAAACACCGGAAGTTTAGACATGTCCCACTGAATATAAGAGTCTAGATTTGAACCGAGATCGCCGCCACCGCCACCTCCGCCTCCATATCCCCCACCCCGACCGCCTCCAAACCCAGAACCACCACCGCCGCTGTAACCTCCACCACCGTAACCACCGCGGCCACCACTATAGCCACCCCCTCCACCACGCGAGCTGCTGTATCCACCACTATATCCGCCACCTCCACCGTAGTCACGTCGAGAGGAAGAATCGCCGTATCGGTCGCCACTGTTCATTCTGTGTTATTGCTCGTTTCTTCTCGTTTTGTCGAATGAGGGCTTCGGAGGTCGCGAAATAGGAAACAAACGTTGGTTGGCTGGTGGACATGCGAAATATCCTCCAATCAGGTGTGCAATATCGGAAACAGCTTGTGATCCCATTTCTTGCTTATACATTATTACTAAATGAGAAGCCTTTGTATTTGTTTATTGATTGTTCCCTCTAATCTCTTAAGCTAAAATGGTACGCTCGTACGTAGCAAACTGTTGGTTGGCCTCTGAGATGCTCACCTCGATCTTTCGCACACCACGATTCTAGCAACGATAATCCATATTAAGTATGTAACAAGCATTTAATATGCAAAGTGTTCTTACCAAAAGTGCAACGAGCGTAAAAGCATCGATAAGTTGATTACTCTAAACAAACGCAGCAACAACGTGTAAGTGATACACGTCCAGTATGAAAACTGCTTCATCGCGTACAATATAAGTCGCGAGTTCCTCGGCCGAAGAGTGCACAATCGGCAACAATGAGCAGTCCGCCTTTGGAAAACTGAACTTTGCCATGTCTTCTGTTAAGATGTGTACATTCGTGCCATCAAACGAAATCTGAAAGCACAGCACGGACACCAAAAAACCAGTGAGCACCAAAAACTTTATTACTGTAAATCATCGTCTTTTACCTTCAGTGCATCACTGTTCATAGGCACGAGAAAGGATTCGTTCAGATCTGAGCAGATGACCCGCGAGATCTTTTTGATCTCTCCAAAATCTACAACGTAACCATCTGGGCCTACTTGTCCTGTAATTGTGACAGCCAAGCGGTAATTATGTCCATGCAACTTCTCGCGAAAGCCCTGAATATACAACCGCAGCCACATTTATATGACTCATCCACCGCACTTGATACAGTTACGCCCTTTACCTTATATGCAATAAAGTGCGCAGCGTTGAATTTCATGTAGTCTTTGGAAACGTGCACTTTGAAGACCTCGTTGTAGCTGGAGCCAATAAGATTGGATGTGTGGTTTATCGGAATCGTCGCCTGTATTGCGTTTGCAGGTGCCGTTATAATTTCCGTATTTCCTGTCTGATAAACAGACTGCACTGGAAGTAAAATGCTAGTTTCAGAAGGTGGTGTTGCAGCGCCGCGAGTTGGCTGAATTTGCGCCTTGACGTCGTCTGGGGTTTTAACACAACCACGCAGGTGTGATGCCCAGCGATCCACGTTGCGAGCAGTTATTTCTTTCCCGCAATAACAACACTTGACGCCCCCCGCTGAGTCACGCATCACATACATCTTCACGACAGCTTTCTGGTCTACCGTCAGTTCTTTACCGGTGTTAGATCCATTAGAAGTGCGTTTGCGCCTCTTACTTTCTGGTGTAATCGATTGAGAAGCATAGCCCTGGTCCTCCTGCTCGGTGATCAATTTCTGCTCTAGCTCATGGTTCACAGAGAGCATGGTAGCAACGACAAGGTTGAGGCAATGGCTGCACTTCTCTGATGAAACCCAAGAAAGCGGAGATAATTGGTGAAAAATAAAAAATAGTGTATTGTTACACATGTTCAACTTCGTGATTCAAGTATACATTGGCCAAGTCCCTGTAGCTAATACTACAATCGGCATTCTATTGGTCGGACACAGCACGTGGCACAACACTCAAGAAAAAATTCATGCTCACGCCGAGTAGCAGGCCAACCTTTTGCTTTCGAGGGACGGAACGGTCAAGAAGCTGAAGGAATAGACACAAGCAGGATACGAGCATTAATACTAGATACGAGCACATAAACCAAATTATAAAACTTACCATTAATAGCATAAATACACCAAGCAATAGGCCCATCAAGAACCCCCAAAGAAATTCAGTGCCGGTGCCTTCATTATCTGCTGCCAGGATCGAGTTGCTCATACCATTTATATCAATTTGAGTATCTGTCGCAATACGCGCCGTTGGCACAACATTAAGTGCTGCAAGCGCAACCAATACAAGTTGCTATCAGCAATCAATACCACAATCACTCCAGTGCGAATCATACCAAACTCAGACTGCGGTCCTTGAGATGCCATCCACTCCTCTTCCAATCGATAAATCCGGTCCTCACTGCTCTCACCATGAATGCGTTCAGCCCGGCTTATGAAGACTGAAAGTTGAGGATAAAAGTATAAACGTAAAGCCTGAATCTCCTCCCGACTAAGTCTATCACGTAGCCTGTCGAAGCCCCTTCTCGTGGTTTCATCATCTTGTTCCTCTAATTCAATAGCTGTAGACGCGACCTATAACATATTCCATTAATCGTCAATGATTATACGGCATTACTGTATTTTAGCTAGAATGATCTCTCACTTGATTGATTATCGCTTTCGGAGGAGCCGCACTGATTGCACAATGAACGAAGTCATCGTCTTTGACCTTGCAGCTTTCTAATGTGGCCTTGTCATCCGAGAGCATCTTGCCTTGATGAATTAGACGCAAAAACTTGCCCTCGGCATTGACTTTCTTCTTCACGAGTTCCTTGAGCTCCGCCACGCTAGCCGAGTGCACAATCTCTACACGCAGCGGCTTCTCGCTGAGTGTCTTGACTTTCAAAACAATTATCCCAGAAATTGATTCGTTAATCGTGATACCCACGGATTCTTCCGACAGCTACACATAAGAACATTTATTCAAAGATAAATTTTAAAAAGACATTTCTCATTGTCAATATGTAAGTCCCAGAAAACGAGAACAAGGTCAATGTCTACCAGTGGTTTCTCCTCTGAGATGTTCTCAGTGCGCTCTGGCTCCATCATGCTTGACAAGGCGATCGCACGCCTTCACGACTGCTTGCCTTGCACTGCAATTTGGGCTTTTCGACTGCGCAGTGTGGGTAGGGCGACTCGAGCCAGTTGGATCTTGGCTTTACGATTGGAGAAAAAGATTCAAGAATTTTGTTAAATGCAACAGAAATATCACATTTATTTATAAATGGCATTGATGGCGCGGGATATAGAGACACTAGTTGATAAAGATGCCGTCAAAGTGGCCGTGCGTGTCCGACCACTAAGCTCTAATGAGTTATTACAAGGATCAGAAGTGTGCGTCGATGTGCTGGACGACAGTGTCGTGCTAGCCGAGAAGCAGTTTGACTTTGATGCAGCGTTTCCAGCAGCGACACAACAGGTAATCATTCTAGCGCAATTGATCGCTTGATAGTCGTGTGATTGTTAGATTTTTATACGTTTTAAATGCCGCAGGAAATTGTCTTCGAAAAGTTAGTGTCACCAATGATTGATCAATACTTTGCTGGGTACAATTCGACTGTGTTCGCCTACGGACAGACGGGATCCGGAAAGACGTGAGCAGAGTTTTAGAACGGATAACATTACTTATGAGCTGCTTAATTATGGTATGTATTTTTGCGTAAAGATACACAATGGGCAACGAGTTTGCTTCAAGTGTTACGTCAAGTGACCGTGGCATCATTTTGCGCGTGATCGAGAATGTAAGAAGTTTCACGTTTCTACAAAGTATCGAAAAATTGTTTTGATATTTCAAGATAGATTTTCCAGCGGATAAACTTGATGGCGATTTCGCAGCATACTATTATCAAGATGTCGTATTTGGAGGTAAACAAGGTTACGTTCTTTACATATATGGATTACTACAAGTAACTTTTCTTGCTAATTGATTTCTTGTCATAGATTCTCAATGAAGAAATTCGAGACCTGCTATCGCACTCTTCCTCTGATGCGCTGCCGACCAGCTCCGGACTGTCCGTACGTGGTGATGGTAATCGTGGCATTATCGTCAATGGACTCAGTGAACACATTATAAATTCGATCGATAATGCGAAGTTGTTGTTACGTTCGGGAACATCGCTTCGCGCTACAGCTTCAACAAACATGAATTGTCAATCTAGTCGCTCGCACGCAATCTGCACAGTTACCATGGAGCGTCGTGACGACACAGAAATTCGAATTTCAAAATTTCACTTGGTGGATCTAGCCGGCTCTGAACGAATTCGACGAACCAAATCAGAAGGTGCACGTTTTAAAGAGGGTGTAAACATAAATCGTGGGTTACTTGCACTCGGTAATGTAATTAATGCGCTGTGTGAACGCAGTCGTACAAATTTGCCGTCAGTACATATTCCTTACCGGGACTCAAAGCTAACGCGTCTGCTTCAAGATAGTCTTGGTGGTAATAGTAAGACGCTTATGATTGCGTGTATCAGTCCCGCTGACGTAAATTATGAGGAGACGTCAAACACACTGCGATATGCGTCGCGAACACGTAATATTGAAAACAAAGCTGTCATTAATAAGGAGCTGAGTGTCGAAAATGAGGTGGCGTACTTGAAACAACAGCTCGAGATCGTTCATCTGCAGCTTCTTCAGCAGTCACAAAAATGTGGTGCAGACAACGTAGCTCAGATCGAAGCGATGCACTCAGGTTCAGACATAAAAGCCTTGCAAGAGAAGAATCGCAAGCTAAAAGAAGAACTTCGCCTAGCAAATAATATCAAGGACAAGTGGAAAAAGATTGCAGATGGCCTGGTTGGAGAGGGCATCACCGCGCATGAAGATTTGAGAACGCTCAAAGCGAGTCAAATCTCACACTCTACCATAAAGCCTAGAGTGGAGGCTGGCATGCAGAATGGAAGAGGCGACAGAGGTAGCCAAAGCAGTCGTTTGTCGAGGCTGCAGCAACTGAGGGAGTTTCAGAGGCAACGATCCATTGCCGCGAAGGAAAACATTGCTGTGCAGCGAAGGGATGGGTCGATGGCGCCAAAGAAGGGTAAACACGCAGACAATCTACCGTCACCGACGATGGCAGACACTGACGGTGAAAAAGCAACCAACACTATGCACTCGCTCTCTAACAGTCTAGTCCAAGAATCTGACATTCAGTCGATAGATATGAATGCAAAGCTTTTGCAGCAGGTGGTAGCGTCATGCGAAGCAATCTACGTTGCAAAAGAAGCAATACGAGCAAACGTTGCCGACCGGAAAGCTTTGGCTGCGGAGAAAGCACGACTAGAGGCATTTTCATCCGCTGAATATGCAAATCAGCTCGCTGAATTGCAGAAAGACTTGTGTATGAAAACGGATAATATACGTATTCTTCAGCAGAAGCTGGAAAGTATCGACAAGAAAGTTACGCTGCCGTCTGGACTTTTTCCCGCAAAGGTTGACTCTTGTCACCACTTGATTCGGCATCTTGTCGATATGGTAATTGAATGCAAGGAAGAGTGCTGGACTCTTTCAAGCTGCCGCATTGCTCAGGATTCCGTGATTAAAAATTTGATGGCCGAGCGACAAAGTCAAAGCAAGACAGTGTCGGAACTGGAGACCAGACTTATGGAAACAGTCAAGTCGCTCGAGGTGTTGCAGCAGCAGAAAACAATCAAAAAGCCAAGAAAGCGGAAACAACGGGAGTCTTATGAAACGATCGAGACGTTATTTAGCAGTAGCGACGAAGAAGTGGACAACAATGAAGCAGACCCAGACTATGTGGAGAACGAGCGAACTTACAATAGATGCAACAAGAGGAGAGGCAGAAGCATGACAGCAATGAAGGAATCGAAAAGTGCTGATGCCATAAATGAAGCTGATAAGATGCGGTCGTCCGTTGTAGTCTCCTGCTACTCCTGTCACGGAAAATGTGCAACCAAGGCATGCGATTGCAAGTCGCAAGGTCGTATCTGTAGCGGAAGATGCTCGTGCAACTCAAAAACGTGCCGAAATCGTCATAGTGATTGCACTCGTAGCAATATCTCAGGAGCAAGTGATGACCTTGCAATCACCTCCTTCGTTCCATCCACTCCTAAGAACCCAACAACTTCCGAAGCTAATTAGCATGAATTTTCTGGTTTCAATCACGGCCATTTATTGTACGCTAGATGTGTGTTGGATTATCTTCCTGTCGTGTATAAACTATTTAAAAAGGATAAATCGTGATCCGAGTTGATACCTCTGAAAGGGGAATTTAAAAAGTGAAAATTTAATCATTATGTCAAGTCGCCGAAAAGATCCATGTCTATAGGTTCGGTCTTTCCCGTCATAAAGTCGTTGTCGTCCTCGTCGTCCGTGCCAGACGAGGTATTATGACGTGCCGCGGCCTTGTCGGTACGAGTGGGAGTGTGAATGCTTACACCGTTCGAATTTCTTTCATTGCTGCTTCCAGCGCTTCCAGCACCTTTGTGCTCACTCGTTTTGGAACGAGTTCGAATGACCAACGCGGCTTCCTTAGGTTTTTGATACTGGTTTGAATTACTGTTACTAGACGAGTATTTGGCACGTAGTGCTTGCGTCTTTTCATCGCTTTTCCTGGCCAAATAATTTTGAATGAGCTGGCGCTCATGAAAGTCCATGTGCGTTATGTTTACATCGGTATCGACGACGAGATAAAACACTTGGTATTCGGATTCCTGGTTTGCAAGCGCAGAAGCAGGTAAAAACTCATAGGAAATTACTTCCAGAATATCAATCGAGTCGCGGTGGTGTGGAATTCTTGCAAATGCTAAACGCTCTGCTGGAATTGAGAATGCAGCACTTGCAGCATCTACCAAATATGTATCCGGATGATTTTTTTCTTCCGAAGAAGCAATCATCACCTCTCGCCGTAATCTTTTGTCAAATCGCCACGTCGCACGATTCACGTACGCGAATTCAACAATCCTGTGGCTAATCGCTAACGTCTCCGGTTCTGGTAAGATCTCTGCCACAATACTTCTTCCTTCGTACACTGCAAGCTTAGATGCTTCAACGAGATTTTGACCATCTACTAAAACGGTGGTCAGTATATTTTGGCGTAGATCACGCAGTCGGATATGAGATGGAGTCAGCTTATGGTCGCCAAATTGTACACTTTTTTTTCCCATTAAGTCATTCCACACTTTGATACGAATATCATCCACCAGCATTTCCTCGCTTATGACCACTTGGCTCACAAACGTCAACGACGCATCATCTTTTCCTATTGCCAAAAGCACTTCGTCAATGTCAAACAAATTGTTTCTATCACAAGTCTCGGTAATAATCTGGTGTTGATGGCTGCTTCGGTCGCTCTCTAAAGATGCTGAAGAGGTGTTTGCGGCGTTGTATAACATCAGTCTGAAGTTATACTCGCCCGTTTTGAGCGGAGTGCCCTCTAATGCAAAGACTGTATGATTCGAGCCGATTGACAACTTGGACAAAGTGCTATCAATCGCCTTTATCTCAACACCAGCACTGTTAATGCCGCGAAGAATCTTAAATTTATTAGAAGGAAGCCCGATTTTGGCACTGATTTGGTCCTTGAGTAGTCGAACAGTTTCTCTTCGATCAATACGAATTGGCTCCGCTGGATTTGTCAAATACTTGAAGTTGACTGTGATCATGTTCGCCTCACGCTCAAAGAATGCCTTCGCGGGCGAAGGAAGTTGAAGATCAGTCGTTTCCTCAAAATACAACTCAGTTCCATTTATCAAGTGCAAGTCCATTTTTAAGCGCAAGCTTCGTGTACGGTCATCGTCATTCGCGTTTAGAATGTCGGCTGCAAAAATACTGTACGGACTAGCACTCTTCTTTATCAAACGAATCTGTTGCCCGACAGGAACTGAAAATTTTTTTTGAATGGCAGCGCAAAGTGTTTCCACGTTTGAAACTTCGTCCTGTTGGATGCACCTTGCCATAAAGAAAACACGAGATGTTGCTTGTGTAGCATCCGATTCCAAGTCGACAAAGCGACGAACGAAAAGTTGTAGCTTTGTCGGGTCATACTCCTCCCACAATTCATCGTCACTTTTCACTTCAAGAAACATATGTTGGCCAGAACAAACTCCTAACGATGACAACGTCATGTTTTCCTTATCATTATACGTGTCCGAAAGCAGGCAATTGTATTCGTTGTATCCTCGCAGCCGCACATTTTCTAACGATGGGATGACAACATCTTCATCCTTCGCGAACTCCTCGCACGCTGTCTTAAGTACTTCGCGGATTGTTGCAGTCTTGTAAACATAAATAGTTTTCTCTAAATTCTTTGTCTGCGATCCTTTCATATAAAATTTAATCTGAGCCTGTTTAGCTTTTTCAACCCGTTCCTGCTCAAGTCTATGAATATTTTCCTCATCTGCACAGATTTTATCCTTTAAATATTGCGGAATGTTTTCTGGGCTAATCACATTTACATTCTTGTCGGCATCGACAAGTCGATACATAAGCATATACGCGCATGTACTGTGGCGCACGCTATAGCCAGTGCCACTTGTGCCCCCGAACGCAAACTTCAATTCCGTATCTGAAATCTCACTGACAGAAGAATCATTAAAATTGTACCACTTGCCCGTCTCTAGAGACTTTATATACGCATAATAATGTCCGCCAAGCGCGCTGCCAGAGTGAATAAGAATCGAGTAGAGTTCGTAAACATGAGGGCCTGAACGCTTTACCATGATTCTTGGATCAAAAGTCGGGCTCCAAGTATCAATAAGAGCATCGTCCGCATCGTTATCAGTACCATCGCCTAGTTCGTCATCAAATGTCACCGGATGTGACTCATCCATAGAGGATAGACGACGATTTCTGTCATTTGCCGCGATCAATCCAGGTGTTGGGGATGGCGAAGAAGGCAAAGAGGGTGGTGCATGTTCTTGTGAATTATGATAGTGCCTGCCCTCCAATTCGTGGCGCTCCATCGACATTTTTCTAGCAACTTTTCCACGAGCAGAGCCATTTTCACCACTCACATACGAGTTCATATCCAAATATTTCGGAAAAGTCACCTCGTTATGTAGCTTAATGCGGTTCATCGTGGCATAGTCGAAGTCAAAGCGTTTTAACTGCAGCATTAAAATATACGGCAGCTTAGAAAATTTGAGTCCCTTGATAGCATTGCGCTTTACTTTACATCTGTCACACATCCACTGGTTCTCGTCTTTCAGCACTTCCGGTCTTAGAAATAACTCAATTGCCTCCTCCACGGTCTTCATCATCTCGGTCGAGCCGAACGGTCGAATGACCAATGACAAATCTAGAAAATTATCGATTCTCGAGCTTTCATATCGACACTCATAGCACTGCACGTAATCCTTAAGTGATCCCTGATACAAATCATTCACCAGACTCTCATTCACGGTTCCTCTAAATGATTTTTCCAATGCATCTAGCAGCACTCTGCATAATTCCTGTACGTCGTGTTGCTGAAAGACGTCAGCTCCTGTCCACCCAAAACTTTTAGTTAGTGCCTTGGTCGATATCGAGTCCTGGGTTGTCAGCTGCAACTTGGCAAAGAGTTTCTGAAGCTGCAATGGAATATTGTCTTCGTCTGCCTCTATTTCAACGTCAGATTCTTCTTCATCATCCTTTTGAGCAATATCCTGATTTATCTCATGAATCACGCGGTGACACGTCCAATTATACAGTCCCTGGCGAAATTCGGGTGTCATAAACATACTCTGCAGTAGGCTGTTCATGTAACACGTGGCACCCTGATTCGATAGACCCGTAAAGACTTTTTTTGGTCGGCTGTAGGTCCCGGAACTACTGTAGCTACTGTGCTTACTGCTTGTATAAACTGACGAGTCGTAAAGATCAGAAAGCCCTGTGGCGCTGTATGTGGTCAGCGCTGTGGATTGCACATTGCTTGTGACAGCAGGCGCGTCCTCATCCTGAGCGCGTGGCAGTTGCTTTAGCACAGAAGATACTCGTAATTGATGTTGCTCACGAGAGCTCAAATGCTCTATGTCGCCAGTTGAGTCCCAGCCTGTTGCTGTTGGCTTCGATGAATCAGAAGGCCAGTCGCTCATCTGAAAAGAGTTTGTTACTGAGATCTACCTCATTCGAAGAGAATTTTTTGTGTGAATCACATAAAACCAAGGACTTGAAAATAATCCTGGAAAAGTCTCAAGAGCAGGCATGAACACTTAGTAATGTCTGGAAGTTAAAAGCCGAACTCAACATCCTAATTTATGCATACAATTGTAGTCTTAGAAACATCGCTGATCTGACGTCGACAAAGTCTGAGACTTCTACACCATGCGCGGCATGGGAGACATGTTCCTCGCAAGTGGTAGTTCTTCTTCTGATTCTTCGGACCCATAGAAGGCGCGATCTCGTTTGAATGTTAGGCTCTCCGAGAGAAATTCCATCTCACCTGCGCAGAGCTTTTCTTTACGCCACAATGTGTAGCACACACCCATCGCGACTGCGTACAGCATGGCTGGGAAGCACCAAAGCAATCCATCAATAGACAATGAGTCACATACACACATTATCATTCAGAAGATTTGAAGTTAACCAAAACATGCAAATTTGCAGAGAACGCACCCGCCTCAAAGCACGAGTTAGCACCAGAATTGGGTGTCTTGGCGTTATGAATGTATATAGGTTGCAGCTTCAGCAAGCAGCCCACGACCACCTGGGATATATCACATTCATAAGTAACGGTCAAATATGAGCAAAGCTTGAGTCAAGATGAGTAAAGCGCGACCATTGAAAGCAACACATCAGTGTACCAGGAAAACGAAGCCGATAAAGCTGAAAATAGTGCCGCACAAGTAGCCTATCAAGTGAGAACAGAAACAAAATGCAAGCGTTAGACAAGCTAGAAATGATCAGCTCACGTAGCCTCTCGAACCGCCACGTACCTCCGCCCATAATGTGGATAGTCGGTCTTTTTCTTGTCAATGGAACATTCAGTTAGTACATGGTACATTTTTCATGTGGATAACATACAATTATGAATATGGTGTGCGCAACATATTTCGCTACTGAAAAATCGATTTGCATTTTTCTTAAAGTTTGATCTGTAGTCTTCTGTCAGACAGGAACCAGCGAACAGCGTCCTTTCCTAATTATAAAGTTTTATTTCGTGAAATTGCATTTGGGTCTCCGCCGTTGCTGTTCATTTTTAAGTGACCGTATGATCCTTTTAGAAATATTCTAAGCATCAGCAGCATATATAGCACATGTCTGTCAGCGCACAAAATGATTTGGCGTTACCTTAAGGACTCCTGTGGCATTCGTACAGTGGATGCAGCTCAGATGCTAATCTTTAGCGTGCTTCCCTACCGCGCACGGTCTATGAAACTTTAGAATCCTCTCTTGGCCATATATATCGTTCAGGATCCGGTCGCGAGGCTTTTGTCATCGACTTCGCGAGCACTATCTTACGTCTCCCTTGCTCAAGCTCATAAATCGGGTAACGGTAATGTACCCCGACTTGCCACCGTCAAGTCCGCCAAGCAAGATCCTGATGACACCACACGTAGGTCAGCTGGCGGTAGCTGCTCTGAAGCCATCGCCGCTGGGCCATCCCATGGGCCGGGTACGAGCCTGCGTATGGCTGTACTCCTTCTGGATCGCGATCGTTATCGCCTATTCTAGCGTCGAGGTCTCTACCCGCTTAAGCTGCACCTTATTGAAGGGAGGTAAGCTAAAAATCTTTGGATTCTTAGTCGGAATTATCGAAAATTTCATATCCTCAAATCTGCGTTGTTCCTGACAAATCGGAGCGCACAAACGAAAGGTTAAGTGTATACGCGCAATTTGATTGCGCCTGGATGTTCGTCACAGCTTTACGAGGTGCTGCATGTCGCGTTTATATCGGTGACGCATGAGTTCCGCCAGCGTTTGCGCCATCTCAGAAATTAAGCTATTCGAATGATTACATTTGAGGAATGCGCATGATTGCGGTACCACTTTGATCTGGACACGTTAGGGTTGCCGTGCTCATGGACAGGCTGAAAGTAAACCAGGCCCGCACCCAGCGCTTGGCTTATCAGGTAGCATTATTAAATCGACGGCCTGATTATTTAACCTAGTCGATCCCATCACGCTTTCAGAGCGATATCAGCCCCGTAAATGCTCTTCATTCTCATAACAGACTCATATCGCGAGGGATGGAAGTACTTATATCCATCTTGAATTCAGCACTTCAAGAAAGTAACTAGTTTCTTGTGATAGGCTAACGACTTCAGGTTTTGCAAGTCGCTACTCAGCACCTTGCCTTAGAATATCGCAGTGGACAAAACCTTAGCGTCAGGAGCACTTACCACAACATTGGCGAGAGTTTAGTCCTAACATTGATCCTGCAAGCTGATTTTATGCGTAACACCCATATCCTACTAATATTAGGCACAACCTCAAGACTCACTCCGCTTGTGTTGGCCATTTTTTAAATTATTGTATTTAATTTTTATGAAATAATTCTAGCAACCTGTTCATCCCAAAACTCTTCGCATTGACCAATGACGTCAATGCAAGCAGGTTAGGCGCTTCAGAAAGCGAGCGATCAGATTGAGAAGCTTGAGCTACTTGACCCTATTTTATCAAAGAGGAGGGCTTAGCTTTGTAAGTCTGTAACCTGGTGCCACCCGCAGAATGCGACAGACTCTATGCTGGCAAGTACGCATTGGACACTGTTCTTGATTAATGGGAATATGACGTTTTTGCGCTCATGCGCATGTGCTAACTTCAAATTCTAGAAATTTTTTGAATTGTTCCAAAATGTAAATTTAGTCGAAATGTCCCTCCATCAACATGATAGCGGGTACATTAATCTAGCTGAATCGTAAGATCGACTCTTTAGTCTTACAAATTGACTTTTTCAATTTATAAGTTTCCATATTATACTCCTCCGCCTCTTTCCTTGTTGATGCATTAAATCTCACTGTAACGGGGTTACACGTACCCTTGTATGAAAGGTGACCGTACATAAGTGTGGATTACACAGGTTGGTGTAATCACACAATGATTTGGTTACACCGTACCTAGAAGCCACTGCATGGCAGGATTGCCAGTAGTAATGCATATTTATTGGGTTTTAGTATATTAACAGGAAAACCTAAGATTTTAGGTATTGGCAGCTCTGCCGGAAGAGTCTCGTTACCTTAGTTAATGTTTTATGTACTCTTGGAGGCAGCGGATTGCGATCCACTGCACTCGTCCTGGTTCTTTAAAGAGCTATGGCAGCCCCGCTAAACTTGGTAGCAATTGTTGTCAATCTATGCCTTCATTACGACTGATCTTTTGTGAGGAAGGTTCAATACTCCTATTTGCCCCAGGGCGTAGTGAACGGACTAAATAAGTTGATGTCATTGCTGGGCTCAGAGGGCGCGGAGCACCTTGTTCTGCTAGGTATCGAAGCGAAAAACGCGCGCCTAAAGGCGTTTTTGAGCTATGAAAACGATTCGCTAGAGCACTTATAGCAGAAGCTGTCGGCGGCGACTGCGTCCATGACGCCACCGTCGACGAGAAATTACTTCTCCCGACCCGTGCCGCTCATAGTGAGCGTTAAGACGTTCGGGGATAAGGATGGAGAGAGTCTCCTGCTCAAAGCAAGAGAGGCCGAAAGGGCTATGGCATCCGTCATGCTCCATTGCGATCAACAGCGCGTGGCGCTATCTATCTATAATTAATAGCGCAAGAAGGGACACGAACGTGCAAAGCTTCGGTTAAAGCCGCGTTCCCCTCCTGGAAGGAGGGGAAGCGTCAGCTTTTGCGATTGTTCTCGCCGCCTAATCAGGCATATCGCGTGCGATCGCGTTTCCTTGCCACCCGACAGGGCAAGAAGGAGTTGGTGGACTTTGTCCATGAGTTGAAAACTCTCATTGCCGGGATGGCATGCGACCATCTCCCCAAGGTGGCCGCAGTAACCGTCTTTATAGAGAGCCTCCGCACTGGCGTGAGCAGAATGGAAGTCTTCCGAGTGCATCCTTCTTTTTCGAAGAAGCGGTAAATGTTGCATTAAATGCCGTATCCAACTTTTAGGTCGGCGTGACTTGGATGGAATGCACACCCTCGAATCTCGTCGAGTCGACTTGAGCCAATGAACTTAAGTAATGCTGAGAAAGAAGAGGGAGAGCTCCGAGCTGCCGAGCAGCGTTTAACACTCGACGGCGTTTTGTCTGTAAGGACACCCGTCACTTTCGGACTGGTTGTCTCCTGCGCAAGGCGCAAAAAGGTTCGTCATACCGATGTCCCGCTTCTAACTAGTCTGGTTTGTCGCGAAAAGGATAACCTCAAATAGGCGCAGGACGCCATAGTGGTGAAGAACTGGATTCTGATGAGCTTTATAGAGGTTGAGGGCAGCAGGGCCCAGCCCCGAAGAGCCCCGTGCTCTTGAACACGAAAGTGTATTCAAGCCGAGCTTGCTAGTCGTAGAAGCGACTGTGAAGGGCTTTGAGAAGCCATGGAAGATTATTATCAATTTTGGGGCGTCTGGAAATTGCGCTCGACGCTCCACGATCACAGGAAGTCAGCTGTATGCTGAGGCGCTGAATGCTCGGTTGAGTGACACCGTCACTGTTTGCTTGACGACGGGTGCCGAGGGTCTTTGTAGACCTCAATGTCAAGTTTATTGACTTCGACAGCGTGGAACGCTGCTTAGTATTAGACTTGGATGCAAAGTATAACCTTATCCTTGGTATGACATGGTTGGAACATCATGAGCCAAATATTGACTGGAGTTCGAAGACCTTGGGCCTTACTCGCACGTCTCCTGGTGGAACTTTGGTGATTCATGAACTGGCTCGGGCAATGGACCGGGATGGTAAATGTGCCGGAAATACGGGGAATCCAAGTTGTCGAACACCAAATTTGTTTTATACAGGATTCCAGAGCGTGGCTGGCGGTCTGAACGTGGAGTGGCACATAACCCACTGAGCGCTGCTCAAGTATTGGAGCAGTCGCTGCATGTCCAGAGTGGCATGGTCGGCTAGGATCAAGGGCGAGGCCTCAATGATGCACGTGGAGTGGCACGTAATCCACTTGGCACTGCTCACGTCTCGAAGCAGTTGCTGCATGCCGAGAGTGGTATGATTGGACGAGGTCCAGGGCATGCGCGTGGAGTGGCGCGTTTTCGACTGGATTAAGACTGCAGAAATAGCAGCTCTTTGTCGAATGTTGCCAATAACATCAAAGCTTCGATGCAGCAGGGAGTGGGGACACTTGACAACGCCGATTGCGTGTTCTACTGGTCTTGATGAGACGTTAGAAAGGAGACGGCGAGGTTGTATGTTGTCTTCCAAGCGCAGGGCATCGACCCTGATCCAGGGTGCGTCTGGTGTAGACGATAGAGTACATCTATATACCCTTGTCAACAATTCGGCGCGAAACGAAGACAGCGAAGACAGCGACGTCATTCTCGAGGCTGTTCGCACGGTGAACGCCCTTCTTGAGCTAGACGAGATGTCCTTCGAAGAGTTCGGCGGTGCCTTGAAGACAGGCGACTTAGCCAGAGTGGTCATTATACGATTGGTAGATGAGATTGACTCATCGTCGCTTCTGGATCAAGCTGTCCTGGAGGACACCAAGAGGTTGCTGATCGCAAGAAGCGGTTTTCGGTTTTAAAAAATTTGGTGAAGAAATTTCAAGATGCCGTCTCTAAAGACCCGCCGTCGGTCCTACCTCCGGACCGAGGTGTGCGTCTCGAGATCTTCCTCATCCCGGACCAAATACTGCGTAATATGCCAATGGCCCCTGTCTAAGGAGCAGTGCGGCGTCATAGACGCCTTCTTCCGCGCGAAGCACGACGCGAGAATGGTGTGTGAGAGCAATTCTCCCTATTCGACACCCACACTTTGTGTCCGGAAGCCAAACGACAAGTGGTCTATCGCTCACTCTTACAATAAGCTTGATATTCTCCAGAACAATATGGTTGGCTGTTCAAAGTACAGCGCACTCGACTTGGTCGATGGTTATTACCGATTGCTCATGAGAGCGAGTGATATTCCGCTGACAGCGGTTAGTACTCAGTGCAGGATGCTCTGGGAGTGGCTGGTGATACTCCAAGGGCTGTCAAACGCACCAGCAACATTTTAATCGTCTTGTGACGCAGTTGTTCAGCCCCCACCGGGCGTATGCACAAACACACTTCGACGACATCTTCGTCCACAGTCGTGCGGAGCACGGGAGGACAGATGGAGAGAACCACATCGTTCATTTTAGAGCGGTGCTCGAGTTCATGCGCTCGAATAAGCTGTATGCTAGTGCCGATAAGAGCTCCTTCGGCGCGGAAGAAATTCCCAACTTAGGATGCTTCATTGGGAAGCGTGGCTTCGAGCGGGTCTCACGAAGGTCAAAGCCAATGTGGACTTTTCGGTGTCAAAAAATCAAAAGAGCTTGTGCAAGTGGCTTGGCCTCGCTAACTACTTGCACGAGTATAGCGCGAATTATGCGGAAATGACACGACCATTGTCGAGTCACCTTAAAATGGATACGGAATGGTGTTGGGACGCCGAGCTTCGGGAGGCTTTTGACAGGGTCAAAGACAGCCTCCTTCATGCACCAATACTGGCGCTGCCCGACTTTGATCGTACTTTTAGTTTCGTCTGTGACGCTTTGGATTCTGCCATCGGCTGTGCACTGCTGCAAGCAGACACCAAGCGGCGAGATCGGGTGATCGTTCGAATCTCACCAGCATTAGGTTGTGGAGAGGAACTACCATGTCTACGACCAGGAATTACTTGATGTGAATTATGCACTTGTCAAGTCCAGGGTGCACCTGCTTTGTTTAAAGCCGTTTGGGATCTAAACAGATCATGCGTCATTATGCACTGCAACTCAGTCGTCTCACCTCTCGCAGAATGGCTACCATTCTTTGCAGAATATACCTTTGAGGTGAAGTATAAGCCATGAAAGCAGAATGCTCTGGCTGATGCGTGTCATGCAGACCGAGCTATGAGCTTGCTCTTGACACGACGGTGACGTCGTCAGTGACGGATTGGACCCACACCGCAAACACGGGTGACAGTATATGTGCTGCTACAGGCTCGCGGGAGCAAGGAGTTTGGAAACTCGGACAGTAAATTGTCGGCGCGTTTGCTCGCACGGTTACACCGATATTCGCTATATAACGGTTTGCTGTATTATAGCACCGACTCAACGGATACGCCACAAATTGTGGTTCCTCACGATGAGATTTTAGAATACAGATTCCTCTATGAGGCCCATGACACCCCACTCAATGGTCATCTCAGTCGTGAGAAGACGTACAGCTTGGTGCCACTTTTTGTGGCCCAAGCTGTACTAATGGACGAGCGCATATATGAACACGTATAAGACGCGTAAGAGGGTGAAACCTTATCTAAATGTGGCGGCACCGCTGGCCGAATTACCGGGACCCTCCGAGAGTTGACAAATAATGAGTATGGAATTTGCGTTTGGCCTGCTGGAGAACTCGGCGGGCAAAACGGGTGTGTTGGTCTTTGTGGACCGATTGAACAAGATGGATCATCTCGCGGCAGTTTCGGACACAATCGACGGTTTGGGTACAGCGACGCTGTTTGTCTATCTTGTCTTTCGACAGCATTGGACTCCCAGAGTCAATTGTCTCTGACAGAAACCCACGCTTCACTAGGAAGTTTTGGTCTACAATCTTCAGGGTGCTGGGCACCAAGCTGACTATGTCAACAGCGGACCATCCGCAGACCAATGGTCTAACTGAGCTCGTGAAACGCGTCATTTAAGACATTTTTCGTAGCATCTGCGCCGAGACGCCGAAGCGATGGAGCGCCATGCTACCACTCGTAGAGTTTGCTCTGAACAATGTAGTGCATTCATCTACCAGCTACACGCCGTTCTACGTGAACGGTCTTGTTTATCCTCTCGTCCCGCTGACGCCGCCATTCCATGGCTCAGGGCTTGGTGGGGAAATAATAACCGGACGGCTAGCTGATGTCAGCCCCCTCAATGTTCGTAAGAAGTCCATGACTTCCTGTCTGCCAGACTGAGTGACTTACGACACGTTCGCGATGCGATTGCTGAAAGCGAAGACATGCAGATGGAAGAAGCTATAACGAAAACCCAGAAGCTGAGCCAGAAAGCTTTAGACGCAGTGCAACAATTCCGTTTCAAACGGCGCAAGACGCTCCACCGTCACACGAAGTGACGTATTTTCCTGCTCGACGGCTAGAAGCTGCTCCGACAGAGCAGGATAATTCTCAACGCGAGGCAGTCGGTGCACAAAGTATTCCAAGCTCTCGAGGTCTTACTCACAGCGGTAGGCGACCAGAGAGATGCTCGTCAGAACGCCGATGACGACGGACATTGCCCTCCAACGCTCGAAGAGATCGCGAGTCACCGACGGCGATCGACCGAGTTGTCATCGCCCACCACCGACTCTTCTCGATGAGAATGGTGGCGTCCACTACCACGTGGAACACATTGTGAGTTGACGTCGTCGACGGGGTCTAACCCAATATCTTGTGGAGTGACGGGAATACCCAAACTCCGAGAACTCGCGAGAGTCAAGAGGTGCCACTTTTGCAAGATTGTTCAGACGTCGTGGACGCTTATGATCAAAACAATCATAACGCTTCGCGTCGTCGTGCACCCGTGCGCGCTTCTCGGTAGTATCCCGGAAAGCCGGAGGGCTATGAGCTGAGCTCTAGCTATGGCCCTGAGCTGCTGTCGTCGTTAACTCACCTGTGTGAGAAACCACAGAGCACGCGGAGGCATGACACATGATCTCACGTGTCGCAGGGCGACAATATGCAGAAGGACGGCGTTGCGCCTTGAGTTTGACAAAAAAGACGGCGATCAACGCGCACGTCCACTTTCTTGTAGCCTTGCTGTAAGGTAGAGCGAGGAATGTTTCCGGTGCAGCTGCATCCATCGTGTCGTCTTCATGACTACCAATTTTGGTATCTCTCAATATTTAAACTACAGAAACGTGGAACGTGAAATTTGTACAGATCTGCATTTTTAAGGTGCAAGGTTATTATCGTAGAGTATGTACCCCATTGCATCCTCCCACACCAAGATGTGGATCACACTTGACTACATACCTTTTCTTACATTGCACGCTCAACCAGCGCCCACTGCGTTCAAACTTCCACTTCATTCCGTGCACCCCACAATGCCTGCTCGTAAGAGTAACATCGCTCCCGAAGTCCTCTCCCTTACATCCCATCACATGGCTCATCAAGACTCTGACGTGTTGTCAATGTAAAGATAGTTTGCCTTCATCTACCATTGTGAGAGTGCACTGCAAGGCTGCTTGCTTACGCGTCATTCCGCTCCTTGCTTGTCACGCAGCGTATGTAACGGCATTGTGTTGAACACGTGTTGCCGAAAGTAATGGTTTGCTGTGAAACGCGGTGTATAGCTAACTTTATTATGCGTTAGCATCAAGTCAATTCCATTAAAGTGGAGCTCAGAGAGCTTCTCATCATCTTCAGCGATTACCTAGAGCTTGGGTAGTGTTTCCCGTGAAGCCGCG